TTTTAAAAAAGAAAGGAAATAAAAACCGATGAATCCTCCATTTAACGAGGATTCCTCCAATGACACTTCATGGCAAGGACCAGTGGGTGATGGGGGCCAGGAATTCTGTGGAATTAAGATGAGGCAGACTTGGTGAGTGGGAATTCTGCCTCCTCTGACAGCACTGGGGTTAAACACAGCCTGGTCTGAGGTGGCAGAACGTCGGGATTGACACTGGTCAGCTCTGAACCAACGTGCTTGTGCAGGGACAAAAAGAGAAAGGGCAGTAATTGCCCTCTGTTTTCAGCAGAAAACATGACATGGAATGTTTCCTGGCAGGTATCCCCCTCCCCTTCCCCTTCTCTGGATGCTCTAGGGGAGGGGAGAGAAAGGAAAAATAACAAGGTGTATCCCTGGGGAGGTTTCCTTCCTGACCTCCCAGTGGTTGGCTCAGTTCATCATCAGGCACGGGAGCGACACTGGCTGGGGCTGGGAATTCACCCAGCTCTGCTCTGCCACAAAGCACTGAGGGCTCTGTGTCATCCAGGGGGATGGAAAATGATGAGAGAGGGGTGGGGTGAGACTGGGAGAAAGGAATGTGGGCTGCCAGAAACAAAATAGGACAGCGAGGATAAAACAGAGCTGGTCTGAATCAAAATCCCTTTCGGACTGATGGTGAAGGAACGTGCCAGAGACCCAAGATTTGGGTATGGATAGGGATCACTGAGCTGTTAGAGGTGGACTAATCATCATGGGAGACTGATTTCCCAGGTGTAGATTCTGAAATACATGCAGCTGGTGTCAGCAGAGCCTGGGCTGGGTGGCAGATTCCTTCATCAGGTGGTGACTGACCCAACAAAAGGTGCTGTTATTTTAGATTCTGTCTGGGGAAGGGAAGGACTGGCTCAACTGCAGGAGAAGAAGCGCTCAAGGAGCTAAATTTGCTCCGATGTGCAGCCCAAACAGCCACTGGGACAGGGAGATCCCAGAGCTGTGCCTCATCCGCTGAAAACAATCCACAGATGGGATCTGCTGGGTCCCATCCTGCCAGTACAAAGGAGGGTGAATTTGAACCCCACTGATTCCTTGTTGGGCCCAATATCCTGGTGCAACTATAGGAAAAGAGGATGGAAATGCCCCTGGAAGAGCTGCAGGGATGGTCCTTCAGGAATTTTGGGGACCCCATCCTGCAGTTTGCTCTGTGGGCAGCAGGCTGGGGGGTCTCGGGGAGGGTTTCCCAAAGAATCCAATGGAAGTTTCGAGCAGAGGGAGGCTCTGCTGGCACTTTCCCCATTGTTTATCCTATTCCTCATCCAACTATGAAGCAAACACATCATATCCAGGCTCTACTCCTGAATTACTCCCTCAACCAAAAAAGCCTGTTGACATCAATAGCAGCCCTGTCCAAGTGCAGGCAGCAGGATGAGGCCTGACATCTTTCCTTCCACTCAGCTGGAAAATAATAATAATAATAATAATAATGATAATTTTTTTAAATCCTCATAGTAGTTATTAATTTTTTTTTTAAGTTAAAATAACATGGTGCTGTGACTAGAGAGTTCTAAGGGAAAGTGCATCAGGAATGTAATATTGTTTCCAGATGTACAATGTCATAAAGAATTTTTTCCACACTTGGAATGGTAACAGGAATTTTTTTGAGGGAGATCATTTACGCAGTGATGAGATATGTTACATGTAAGTAAATGCCTGTATGCCTGGAATGTTTGTGCCATATGTCTAAATAGGTGCCTGTGACTGATACAGCTTTAAAACACAGGGGGATGTGTATTTATTTGCATATCTGGGATTTGAAGAGGAGAAAACATCAGAATATAGAATAGAGAGAATTTGAGGATGCTGAAAACACACTCAGAGCCCTGCAAGCCCCTCGGTGCTCCTGGAGGTGGGGCCCATGTTTGGAAGGATGAAGGGACAGCACATTGCCCTCTCTGCTTCTTGCTTGGTTGTCCTCTGAAACTCCAGCAGAGCTGTTTGATCCAGGTGGCACAAAATCTTCGGTCTCTGTGCTGTTTGAGTCCGAATTTGACTGCAATGACCAGAATCTGTGGTCATTGTTGTATTCTGTTGTTCCCAGATCATTCCATTAGGGTTAACTTTTCCATTAGCCGCTGATTTTAGGGAAAAAGACCATCAGCTGAATAGGCAAAGGCACCAAATATTCACACACAGGCAGTGGTGCCACCAGATCAGGAAAAGGAAAAACACACCAAAGCCATTTGCCAGCGATCTGCTGTGGGCAGAAGCGAGAATTTTAAATCCCCGGGGAAGTTTGCACATCACCTTTCATCGGCACTAAACGCAGGGGCCTCAAAACAAGAGGCTTGGAGTGTTTTACGACGTCGGGAGAACAAGTGTTACTGATAAATACGCGTCCAGGAGGGCCGTGGCCAAAATGCACAGAAATGGTTAACAAGGTAATGGTAAGAAACGTTGACCTTGATTTGTTTAGCTAAGATGTAAAGATTTTTGAAGGTCAAAGGTGTTCTTGTGTAGTGTTTTGGAGTCTAACTGTGTCTGACCCTCTAACATTAAGCTGCTGTGGCCTGCAGTTTTGAAGAGTGAAGCAAACCAGGGGGAAAGAGGGAAGGGGGAGAGAACAGGAAATGGAGTGAGGTGTTTCAGGAAGTTGTCAGGAGTTGACTGATTGATTCCAGATGGAAGGGGTCACCCTTCATGACCCAGGAAATACTCACTGGGGGAAAGCAGTTGGCTTGTGAGAGGGAAGGGCCTGGGAGTTAGGGACCACGGTGGAATGCACATTCCTCTTCCTTCTATCCACAAAACGTTGTTTTTTAATCTTCAGCATGAAACAATCGCATCGTGATCTCCTTCAGGCTGGAGCGAAGTGAAGAAGAAGTTCAGTCCCCCAGCTCTCACTCCCCATCACTGCTGATGAGTTGGGTGGAGGTGTCGTGGCAATGACAAAGGTCTCTGCTGGATTTCAGCAGCGCCTTGGAGATTGCTGCAAGTGAAGATCCAAAACTTTGGGTTCAGATCTGAACTTGGCACCTCACCCCGTGTTTATTCACCAAGTGCCAGGTGGTTCTGACCCTCCTGTGAGGAGTGGGAGAGGTGAATACAAAGTGGAGAGAGGTCTGGAGGTGCATCTCCCATTCCTGCTGGCTCAGGGACTGGAGGATGCTCAGAACTTGGTGTTCTGGACTGTTCAGGCTGTGGGGAGCTCTACATCTCTTACCAAAATGTGGGTCTTGTGTTTTGCACAGCATTTACACCCAAATGATGGTTCAAACACTGTTCTCTGCTCTCTGTGAGCAGGGACGGGACCCGAGGGAACGGCTGGAGCTGTGTCAGGGCTGGTTTAGGAGGGATAGTAGGGAAAGTTTCTTCCCCTAGAGGGTGGTTGGGCACTGAACAGGCTCCCCAGGGTTTGGTTATGGCCCCAAAGCTGCCAGAGCTCCAGGAGGGTTTGGGACAGGGTAGAATTTTGGGGTGTCTGTGCGGGGCCAGGAGTTGGATGGATGATCCTTGGGGGTCCCTCCCAACTCAGGATGTTCTATAGTTCTATTCTATATGTCTTCCTATATTCCCAAAGTCTTCCTACATTCTCAATTCCCCATCCTGAGAGTGTGTGGGTGTGTATCCATCACACAGACCCTCGAGTGGGTGAGTTCAGATACGTGTGTATATTATACAGCATAACTGTATATTATATGATCGCTTTTTATTTACATTTGGTTGCAATTTAAACACTTGTCGTAAATATTTCAGACACTGGAAAAATTCAGGGCTATTCCCCTGTTGCCACAGTGTGCTCTGCGCTGGCCAGTGAGAGATTAAAATTTATTTCCATTGTTTAAGGGAAAATAATGAAGTGCATCTGAGTGGGCTCAGCGATGTCATGAGGGAAACGTTCCCTTTGGATGGAGACACACTCCACCCTAATGTGCAATGAGGAAATCAGTTGGCACACAAAAGCAACGCATTTTGTGACAAGAATGCTTGAGAAGTGTAAGAGTACAGCATGACAAGAGCCTTTTGGAATGAATTAAAGTTGTCTCGAGAAAGAAAGTATTCGTCAAGCTCGCACAGTCCCGGGGAGGGCAAGGGTTTCTCCTCTGTATGCTGAACGGAGTTTTGTCAACAATTGGAGCCTGACATTCCCTTACCTGGGCTGTGACAGCTGTCTCTGAGAATCCATGAGCACACCCAGGGTTTGATTCTCCACAGCTCTGGCTTTTCTGTAGGTGTGTCAGTGGCATTAGGCTGATTCACAGCATTAAGCTGATTTACACCAACTGATGGTCGAAACTCGAATGTTTCAATAAGCTGCCTCTCCTTTCAGAAGCTAAACCACAGTTTGTTCATATTTCCTAAAAGTTTGTGGTTTAAGGGTGTATATATTTCTGGACTGATGGGAGATTTAGAGCTTTGGATACCGTAAAAACTAAAGTGGGATTAATTAGCATATACAGTTACTTCCTCTAAGAATTCAAACGCTACTGGAGCCCAGTCACGGGGGCCAAGGTTTTAAAAAACTGCCGCTTGATTTGGAGTCCTCAGGCCCCGATGATTTTCAGGAGGCACTCGTATGTCAGCAGCAGATTTTTTCGCTGGTTTTCCTGGAGTCTCCAGGCAGATGCAGGTCCATTTGCATGAGTGTGCCATAAGCAGATGGCTGTGAGCCCGCACGAGGATCCCAGGGCACGCTCCTGAGCTGCTCTGAGCCTGCCCCGTGCCTGGTGTGCACAGCCCCCTTTGCCATCAGCAATGCTACAATGCACCCCAGCAACTGAATTTAGGGCCATCTGCAGGAGCTGGTTCATTATACAGCGAGGCCTTTATGTGGCCCTTAGGATGCTGTGTTAAATGGAATTAATGCACAGAATGAAGGCTGAAAATATTTCCTCCCCTTCCTGCCGGGGAGTAAAACCCTGCAGGACGTTGGTGCTGCTTTTGCAAAGCGAGCTGGTTTTTGGCTAAACTGAATCATTAAGAAGCAAACTGTTTACCTGCCTCCTTCTCCTTGCCTTTCCAAACGTCCAGGTCGTGCTATCGACGACGGTGAACGTTGATGGGCACGTGCTGGCGGTGTCTGACAACATGTTTGTTCACAACAACTCCAAGCACGGGAGGAGAGCGAGGAGACTCGACCCCTCGGAAGGTGGGAATCTTTTTGTGTGCAGAGCAGAGCACGGATGGATGCATGAACACCTCACCCATTCTTCACTTTCTGTTTGTTTTGAGGAGGGAAGGGGAGCCAAGGGGGAGCTGCAGACCCTCAGGGGGTTTAGGGAAGGAAGAGGCAGGAAAACAGTGTCTACTGCATGCAAAATGCGCTCCTCCTCACATCTAAGAGACTGGCTCCCCCCCCGCCCTTCCTCCCCCTCCCAATTTATTAATTAGTATGTGCTGCAAAGATGAAAAACCGCAGAAAACACCATCTAAATTTCAGCCTTCTCGTTCAGCTGGGGTAGATTTGATTTCAGGCAAATTAGGCAACATGACATCTTAGTTAAACAGAGCGGCTGCGGCGCGAGATGTGTGTGGAAAAGTGTCACTGGTTCCCTTAAACAAACTCTGCACGATGCTCAGAGGGAGCTGACACTAATTGATGGCAGTTTGTTTGGCTAAGCCAGGCTCATGGCCTGCCACGGGATGGGTTGGGGAGTGTATTAAAGCATTTACAAATCCTTGTATCTGCTAAGCCTCAAAAAAAAAAAAAAAAAAAAAAATATATATATAAAAAGGTCCCTCCTCTCCCTCTCCTTCTCCCTGTACTTTCATTCCCAACACATTCCACCTCCCTCACGCTCAGAACGACTGGAAAATGCTATCCTGTGTCTGCTTCTCCCTCCCCTGCAGCCAGGGAAAGTGAGAGGAGCTGGTGATGTTAGTAGAAAAGACAAGCAAGGATATTATTTCATTATAATGTTTTGCTGCCCCACTTCTTAACTGTGCCCTGTATCAACCTAAAAGAAGAATTAATGAACTGGAAGAAAATGATTGAATCAGTAAAGAATTCGGAGTGGTGTTAATTCTCCCCCAGCGGGCAGTGAAATGGTAGAAGGAAAATCCCAGGATTCCTAGCCTAGGAAGCCATCCAGTTTTTCCTTGACTGATTGGATGTGATTGACTGGCTGTTCAAAGGAGTCTCATGTTTTTGGAGCGCTGCCAAAGTTCCCCTCCACCTCTGACCCTGTCAACATTGGGAATGGAGTGATGGATTGACTTTGGTTATGGCCTGGAAACCATATTGGGTTCCTGATGGGATGTATAGTCCAGAGGCCTTGAACATATGGAAGAGAGAAGGGAAAAAAAAAAAAATTTCCTCTATAAAATCAAGAAAATTATTAGAAATTGTCTCCTGATAGGAATTGGAGGAGACATTTGATATTCCCATATCTTTTTTCACCCATTGATAAATTTAACAAACCTGACTCTGCCTTTTTCTTTCTTTTTTTTTTTTTTTTTTTTTCTGACAGGGTTTGTTTTTGTGGGATCACATGCTAATGAGTGGGTGTTGGGTTGGATTTTTTTTTTTGGTTGTTTCTCTTTTCTTAAACAGCCTCTGCACAATCACTTAAGCATTTCATTTTTACACCCACTACAGTTGGCCTATTAGGCTTTAATGACACCATGTTAAGTGCCAGTAATGAATAGGCAAGTAATTAACACTTGCAAGGCAGAAAACATGCTTTTATTTATTTATTTATTTATTTATTTATTCATTTATTTACTCATTTGCTGGGGGTTGTGGAAGGGTGAAGCAGCCTTCATGGGTGGAGGATTACACTCACAGGATTTCACCCAAGGACTTACACCCAGGTGTTCCAAACAGCCTCAGAGCTGTTGGGTGAACAGAAAATCCCCCAAAAAACCCCTCATAACACGATGCTCCGATGTCCTTTCTGTTCTGATCAGCCACCCCCTGCATCAAAGCCATCAGCCCCAGCGAAGGGTGGACCACGGGGGGAGCGATGGTCATCATCATCGGGGACAACTTCTTCGATGGGCTGCAGGTGGTGTTTGGGACCATGCTGGTGTGGAGTGAGGTGGGTAGAAAAAAAAAAACCTTCCCTGAGGAGGAACAGTGGTGGTCCCTGTTCCAGGGGTGGCACAGGAATGGTGGTGTGGGGAGCAGGTCATGTTAACCTGCGTGGAGGGAATTTGGGGAACGTGTGATCTTGCTGAGGTCAACTGCTCAGTGAGACCCAGGACGGGACTGAACAACTCCAGGCATCTGGAGACAGGCAAAGGGAGAGAAATAAAGAAAGGGTGAGAGTTTGGGGAAAGAATTCCCTCTGGATCCAGGAATAAGCCAGCAATGGGCTTAACAGTGCAAATTTCCTGATGAGAATTCATCCTAAAACGTGTCACATCTTCTTACTCCTGAAGGCAAGGAACTAGACCAGATGTATCACTTGGTGTCTCCTGGCATAGAAATAAAGACTTTTAACCGAGGCCTGCGATGGCAGGACAAGGGGTAATGGTTTTAAAAGGAGAGAGGGACGGCAGGAAGACATTTTTTTTAGGATGAGGGTAGGGAGACCCTGGCAAAGGTTGCCTGGAGAAGCTGTGGCTGTGGCCCCAGCCCTGGAAGTGTCCAAGGGCAGGTTGGAGCAACCTGGGCTGGCGGGAGTTGGTGGGGGTGGGTGGTCTTTAAATGCCCCATCCAACCCAAGCCTTTTTATTACTCTGTTGTTGCTCTGTCGTTCCCTCACGAGGTCGGTGGGCACCACAGACTGTGACTGTGCCTCTCCTGTCCCCATTCCAGCTCATCACCCCTCACGCCATCCGCGTCCAGACGCCTCCCCGCCACATTCCCGGCGTGGTTGAAGTGACATTATCCTACAAATCCAAACAGTTCTGCAAAGGGGCACCAGGCAGGTTTATTTACACAGGTAGGTGCCCTCCTATGCTTTTTTATTTTGGTGGTTGGTATCGACAACTCTTGGCTTGGTTATTTATTTATTTATTTATTTATTTATTTATTTATTTATTTATTTCTCCCCTTCGTCTCTGAAGGCCTCCTGGGTGGTTTGCAGGTGATTTTTCCTGATTAAAGCTCGTGGTGCCCCAGTGTGGGTCTGCCTGTAGGATACCGAGCGTGCAGCAAAAAAACTCTGCCACCTGTTGAATGAATTCTAGTTAGAATTTTCCCCAAAAGTGGAAAAATTTGAATGAAAAATCTGACAGTTCGGGATTTTGGAAAGAGTCAGCGATATGTGAAGATCCTGTTAGTGTTTTATGCTGGTTTATGTACCTAAATTAGTGTATTTATGTATTTATTCATACGACTGCCACACCTAGAAACCTCCAGCAAGAATTAAGTCTACAATTACACTTATAATTATAGAAGTTTAAGTGACAAAAGAAAATGTTTGCTATGATAGAGGCCTAATCCACAGTTAATCAAAGGTACTGAAATTATATCCATTGACTGGAACTGATTTTGAGTTGACTCAAATTGATTAGGACAAATCAAGCCTGTGTGCAAATACCTTTATGTTTCAGCACCTTGCAGGTGCTTTAGAGGAAGAGATGCTATGAATTTGTCAGGGTTTGTCACAGATTTAAATGTAAAATTCTTCTTTTTCTGCTCCTTGAGGCCCTGCCCTCGGTGTCTTCAGCAGGAGGGTTCCTGAGGACCAGCTGATGGTGCCTGTGCTAAAAGAGGGTTAGAATAGAGAAATGGGTCATAAAAATGTGTGTTCCTCTATGAGAAAAAAAAAAAGTATTGTTGTTTAAAGCTGTTTTAGGTGCAAGACTGATTTGTGCCATGCAGGGGGGGTGTGAGTCAGGCCAGTGCAGCTCTTTTGACGTGTTAAATCCAGACCTTCCACTCAAAAAAAGGACGTGAAGATGCACGCAGGAATCAGCAGAAAAGAAAGTTAAACACCCTCTGCCTGTTCTCCTGCTGTCCCTGGCACAGGGATGTGCGTTCCCATCCTCTCAGGAGTGAGTGGGTGCTCCTGCCATATGTTGTGGAACACCTCAGTGGAGCTGCTTGGAGCGAGGGTTGGACAGACACCTTCCCAATCTGTCTCTCCCGGAACCTGCAGCTCTCCCACGGTGCCAGGCAGAACGAGAAGCACGGCTCGTAGGTAGAGCCTCACCTGGCTGAGCAATTCCCCCAGGTTGGTGCCGCTAACAGCAACAAAAACAACTTCTAAAGCTAGGAAAATAACAGGGTGGCTTCTTCCCCCCCCTGCTTCCCTCTCCTTTCCCCGTGTTTTTTTAGGGAACTGCTGCAGTCCCGTGGACAAACGTGGTGGGTTTGAAGGCATGTCCTGCCTCCAAGGCTGATGGATCCTGGCCTGGATCAGGAACAGGTCCAGGGAAGGGATGTTCTCAGTGCTGGGGAGGCCTCAGCTCGAGTGCTGTGCCAGCTCTGGGCCCTCAGTTTGGGGAGGATGTTGAGGGGCTGCAGCGTGTCCAGAGAAGGGCAACGAGGCTGGGGAAGGGGCTGGAGCACAAGTGCTGGGAGGAGCAGCTGAGGGAGCTGGGGGGGCTCAGCCTGGACAGGAGGAGGCTCAGGGGGGACCTTCTCACAGGAGGGGGAGTGGGGTTGGGGTTGGTCTCTTCTCCCAGATAACCATCAGTAAGACAAGAGGGCTCGGTCTTAAGCTGTGCCAGGGGAGGTTTAGGTTGGATATTGGGAAGAAATTCTTTGCAGAGAGTGATCAGACCTTGGAATGGGCTGCCCAGGGAAGTGGTGGATTCTCTGTCCAGGGAGATGTCTCAGGTGAGACTGGATGTGGCCTCAGTGCCATGGGCTGGGAGCCACAGTGGGGTTGGAGCAAGAGTTGGACTTGATGATCTCAGAGGCCTTTTCCAACCTGGCTGGTTCTCTGATTCTATGTTTCTGTCAGATTTTGTCAGAGAGGTTGTGGAGCATCAAAGGTGCAGTTCCAGCACGTTTTTGTATGAAATCTCAATTAATCCCTCACTGGGAGAAAGGGTGAAGAGCTCAGCCATGTTATCAGACAGCAGAGAAGTTACCAGCAGGTCAGCCTCAGGAAACCAGGTTGTTTAAATGGCACTGCCCACAGAGTGCACAGATATAAATAGCAAAATATACTCAGTTTGAGCACAGGAGGGCAGTTGTTTGTTGGGTAGAATGTAGCAGATAAATACATACAAAATGCTGAATGAGAAAGTTCAACAGATTTTATAATTCTTGGTAAGGTAGACTTTGACATCATAACAAAAATCTGGTTTGACTTTCTTTTTTTTCCATGATAATTGAAGTTTATTATTTTCTTGATACTTTAAGTGTTAATAGCTGGTGTAGCTGCCTCTATAAATGAGAATTTCTCCTCTAAATACCTTCAGCTTGCACTTGGCAAAACCCTCAGAAACGCAGACATTGAACATCAAGCCCAGGAGACTGAAAAGTGTGAAATCCTGCAAACTGAAAGCAGGGGAAGGTGTAGTTCTGCCAGAACTAGGAACAGCAGCAAGAACAAACAGCCCCAGGATTATCAGGGTCATGTTATGTGGAGTCCTTCACAGTTACCAAGTGCTGAGGTGGAACCTCTGATGAAAAGCACAAAGGGTCGAGTCATCTGAAAAATAGAGAGTGGGTGGATCTGAGCACTTCGAAGGTAGAAGAAGAATAATTATTCATACCAAACCAGACCTCAGAAGGTCTATCAGGGCATCAGAAATGGGCAATCAGTTACATGTGCTCCTCTTTTATATAAGAGATGCTGCCACAGAAGGATGAGGATTAACCCCTTGCAGGAAAGATGGACAGGGAAAGAGATCTCACAGGTTCTAGCCCTGTCCTTCAACTGCCAGAACACAATACTCTCCTCAAAGGTGGAAACAAGAACGATCTCAGTATTGTACCTATGCCCCCAACATGTAATACACAATCATATTTAATATACAATCAAATATTTCTGTTCGACTCCATTATACTTTAGCTCTTCTTTTACTTTTCATCTTCTTTAAAGAGCCACCAGAAGATGGTTCGAGGAGGAGAATGACAAACTGTTGAGAAGATGAATATAAAAATGAGGCATACATTTCAAGGGTAAATCTAAATGCCACAGTGGAGCTGTTCTGGGAGCTCATAATGTGTATTTATAACGGGCTCCTGCGAAGTGTGCTGTGCTGGCACCGCTGCCGTTACGGGTCTGTCAGCATTTCCACTCCTAAGGGTTATCATTCAGGGGGCTGCAGCTCAGCCATCAAGCTCCTCTCATCGCCAGGATGGGATGTTTGGACTTTTCCACGGGGTTCCCAGATGGAAAACATGTTGTACAAGTGAGGCCAACGGGATCCTGCAGACGGGGAAAGATGTGCTGGAGAGAAGAGCAAAAACCTGCAGGAATGGCTCCTTAGGTGGTGATGGCAGCTGCTGAGCCAACCTCAGTGCTTCAGTACACAGAGTGAGAGATAAAACACTTGAAATGAGAGAGAAAGAGTGCATTTTGAAACCCCCACAGCCAAACTGCCAGTTCCTGTGTGCACCTTGATCTGGTGAGAACACAGGTTGCACACACCCCTCTGGATGTTCTGAACTCCTTTTCTCCCATCAGCTGTTCCCATAACAATAAGACTCTTTTTTTTTTTTTTCTTCCTCTTGCAGTAGCCTCATATTCTGCTTTTAACACTACACAAATTCAAATTCTCTGCTGCTGTAAGTAGTTCCATTATAGTTCCCCTGGCTTTAATAACACATCAGTTTACGCCAGCTGAGGGCATGTCTTGCAGGCTTTCATATCTCAGGTTTGATCACAGCTCTGCACTTACCTTGTCACAGGGATGCTAACCTGGAAACGTGTATATCAGGGAGATTTGGAACATAATTTTCCTTGCTTGAGCAGAAATCCTCCAGGGGTTCCCTTGTCAGAGCGATGCAATATAAAATCATCCGTGGGAAAGGCTGGGCTCGGGGTTGTGCTGCATCACACTCTGTGCCAGCCTCCAAGGAGAGGAAGCTGCTGGATTGCTAATGCTTGTCAGTGGATTTGAGGGGGTCTTGTGGGAAACAACACTTCCAGGGATGCAGAGAGCTCTGCAGGTTGGAAGGGAGAGTTCCCTTGCCTGGAATGCAGCTGAGGGGACAGAAAAGATGTGCTCCTGTCACTGCTTTAACCTGGGAGAGACACAGGGAATAAGAGACTTCCAAGGTCTGAAAGGGCCTGCAGGGAAGCCAGAGAGGGATTCTTCATCAGGGACTGGAGTGATGGGACATGGAGTGATGGGCTCAAGCTGAACCAGGGGAAATTTGGGTTAGATACCGGAGGGTGGGCAGGCCCTGGCACAGGTTGCCCGGAGAAGCTGTGGCTGCCCCATCCCTGGAAGTGTCCAAGGGCAGGTTGGAGCAACCTGGGCTGGTGGAAGGTGTCCCTGCCCAGGGCAAACACTGCTCTCCCTCTGGGTTCAGGATATTCCTGGAGGTGTCCATGGTTTGTTCCCACTGCTCTGCTCTGTGGAGCGAAGCTGCAGAGCTTTGCTGAGGTGCCTGAACGTGGCCCTGTCCCCAACCGGCGGAGAGGGGGAGAGAGGAGCACATCTCCCCAGGCAGCATCAGAACGAGCTGTCACTCAGGGTAAATTGTGCAGATCTTCATAACATCATCTTTCCTTCAGCAGTCTTATGTGCTTTGATGTGTGGGGAAATAATTAATACTTTAAATGTCAGCGCTGCTACCGTCGGGTGTCGGAGCCGGTCCCTGCTGAGCCGAGCCGGGCTGAGCTGCTGAGCAGGTTTTGCAGATCCAGACAGGTGTCATGGCAGCAGTTGCTCAGCTGTGAGGGTTTGTTTTTCCTCCAATTCCAGTGAGTCACAATGCATCTCCAACAAAAACTCGGGTTCTGGAGGGGAGGGAACGGCGTGAAAGAGGGAGGAGTGTCCGTAATCCATTTGAGCCTCGCCTAAATAAAGTCAGTCCATGGCACATTTAGACCTTTCCCTTAGTGCTGACCTTAACAAACCTGGTGTTAAACCTGTAATTCCAGCCTGAGGTTTAGGGGCTCACTGACAATTCAGTTTATTCACTAGGTGGCTGCTGTGTTTCTTGCAGACATCTTATTGTGTCATGCCCAATTTTCTAAACCGTGTTCTGGGAAGTTCAGGAGAACCCCTGGAGCCCAAAACGCTGGATTTGAGGGATTTTTGCTGTGCCTGAATCAGTTTGTTTTTTTTTGGGGGGGGGGTGTTTTCATTTCAGATGTCTGATTTCCACAGCATAATGAAGAGCCTGCTTGTGTGTCAGACCCCCTTCATGGTCCCTGAATCCAGGAACCCAAAAGCCCTTGGATATAATTTTTGGCACGTTTCTGTCTAATCCACAGGGGAATCACTCCTGATCCAGTGGCTCTTTTCTCAGTGGAAGTGGCATTGGGGGGGGGAGCTGCTTAAACTTGCTGGTGGATTCTATAGCAAGGTGTCATTTACTCCTGTAAATGTTGCTCTTTAGCAGGATTTCAGGACAGAGATATTTTTGTTTCATTAATGAGTAAAACTGGGAGCAGGCAATTTTGTTGGGAGCTGCACAGGAAAGCTTTGTGCTGGAAGACATAATATACACATTGATTCAGAATGGCTGAGTTCTCAGAACAATTCAGCATTGTTGGGGAACGACTCGCTTCTGTTTATCCATCAGGATGAAAATCTCCACGTCAATCCAACATGGAAAAATGTCGGTTGAACAATGGCCAATTTCTTCTTCCTGAATTAGCATTTTGCCTATTCCCATTAGCTATTTTTAGTGAGCTATGTACAGATATATATATATATATATATATGTTTGGATTGCTATATGTTTCACATTTCTTTTGCTTAGTTGAAGGTACATAACTCAAATTATTAGATTGGTAATCAAGGAGAGAAATGGCACATAATGATGTACAGGCTCTTGGGACAACTGGCCTCTGATTCTCAGGATTATTGACAAAATAACCCACCCCCCCCAAAAAAAAAAAAAACCCTCTTCCCAAATGGGATGTAGATTCTGTGGCAGTTGAAATGTGTATTATTAAACTCCTTAAGCAAACCAGAATGGCTCCCAGTGGAGAGCAAAGACATTCTAAGTATAGCCAAGACTAAATTCTCAGGTCTGGGTTTTCTCGACTCAATTCCCACTCGATTATCTCCCGTAATATTTAAACTCCATGCCACGCCATAATTATTTAATAAAAAAGTAAATATAAAATGTATCTCAGTGGGGAATATGACCTTTTACCTTCATGTGGCTCTACCAAAGACAGGCACAGATCAGCAGCGAGCCTGGATCAGCAGAATTGTCTGTCTCACTCAATAGTTTCATCCTCCTGGTGCCCGAGACGCTTCTCCTGGAAGGAGCTGAGGATATTTTGGAAGGTTCAATAAGAGCCACCAGTCATTTAAATAAAAAAAAAAAAAAAAAAATGGGAGTCTCCTTCTGCACAACCAGAAATGAGATCCTTATTTGGCAATTCCAAACCCAATTTCACCCTTAAAGCACTTGCAGCTTTTCTGGAGCCGTCAGCTCTTGCTGAGTAAAGATCTGGGTCAAAACCTCCTGGTTTATCCACCAGAGATTCCAGGGAAGTGGTGGTGTTTGCACAACTGGAGAGCTGGATGTGCCTAATGAATAGCTGTGCCCTACTTTGGGGCTGCAAAGGGTTGTTCCCTTATTGAGATAGAGCCATATAAATACATTTTAAAATATATTTTTATATATATATATATATAATGTATTTATATGGCTCTATCTCAATATAATTTTAATATATTATATATATATAAAAAAGATACATATGCCTCAAAGATAAACATACATCAAAGAAATACATCTCAAAGGTGTATATATATATATATATATATATATATATATATATATATATATAAAAAGATATAAGTATCTCAAATATATATATCTCTCTCTCATAGGTATATATACAGGTATATAGATATATCTAAAGATATATATTTTGATACATATAAAATTATATATAAATATAAATAAATATATAGGTATATCTCCAAGGTGTATATATATATAAAAATAAATATTAAAAAACAAACCTATCTATTCATATAATATGATGGGGGTTTATGTTTTCCTTCCAGCTTTAAATGAACCTACCATAGATTATGGCTTCCAGAGACTGCAGAAGGTCATCCCAAGACATCCTGGTGACCCTGAAAGACTAGCTAAGGTAAAATATTTTTCAGCATTTCACTAATATAGGGGTTTTTTTTCACTTCTATTCCATAAAAGAACAAAATTATATCTCAAATGACAATCATATCTGACAATAATTTCCCAAGAATTACTGGTAAAAGAATATTTTGAATTACAGACACTTATTTATGTGTCTGTGCAAAGGAATATACTGAATTATAGGCACCTCTTTACGTGTCTATGCAAAAGAATAAACGGGAATTCAGCAGGGAACGGGCACATCCGAAATGTGCCTCCCTTTTCGAGGCTGGTGAGGCACAGCAGGTTCAGGACTCTGGAGAGCTCCGGGTCAGGATGGAGCCCTGGGCTCTCCACACCCACTGCCAGGGTGAAGGGATGGTTTGGGCTGTCTGCTGGGAGACACTGCAAGGGCTTCCATTTTTCAGATCCTTGGCAAATAGTTCCTCTGGAAGGCAGTTTCCAGAGTGGCCACACACAAACACTGTTGTTTGTTTTGTTTTGTTTTGTTTTTTTTTTCTGTTCAAATGTCTCTTTTCTGCTCCTCCCCCAGGAGATGCTGCTGAAACGAGCTGCTGACCTGGTGGAGGCCCTGTATGGGACACCCCACAACAACCAGGTCAGGGGAGTGGGAGGTGGGAACAGTCCCTAAAAACCCCTTGGAATTCCCAGTTTCTGACTGTCTGTCCCCTCCTGCAGGACATCATCCTGAAGAGAGCGGCCGACATCGCCGAGGCCCTGTACAGCGTTCCCAGGAATCCTGCCCAGATCCCGGCCCTGTCCAGCTCCCCTGCCCACAGCAGCATGATGGGCATCAACTCCTACGGCAGCCAGCTGGGGGTCAGCATCTCCGAGTCCACCCAGGCCAACAACCAAGGTGAGCCCCAAGGGGGAACGGGGGGTTTGCGCCCCTAAAAATCCCGGTCACAGATTCCCAGCCGGCTCCTCCGCCCCTCGGGGGGAGCTGCCCCTTGGGATGATGCTCTGGGACCCTCCACTCACCACGTCAGCAATGGTTGAACCAGTTACTGAGTGGGTTTGATAACCAGAGGGCATTTGACAACCAGATTTCATAACCATTTCACTAACCAGATGATGAAACAGTTACTGAGTGTTTTTGATAACCAGATTAACTCTGGCTGAACCAATTCTTGAGTATATTTGATAAACAGATTAACTCTGCATGAAACAGTTTTTGAGCGTTTTTGACAACTAGAATATGTTTGATAACCAGACTTGGTAACCATCTCATTAATCAGGCAATGAAACAATTATTGAGAATATCTGACAACCAGATTAGCTATGGTTGAACCAATTATTGAGTATTTCTGATAACCAGGTTAGCTATGGCTGAAATAGGTATTAAGTATGTTTGATAACCACATTAATTATGGATGAACCAATTTTTGAGTATATTTGATAACCAGAGTACATTTGGTAACCGGATTCGATAACCATTTCATTAATCAGACAATGAAACAATTATTGAGAATACTTCATAACCAGGTTAACTATGGTTGAACCAATTTTTGAGTATTTTTGATAACCATATATACAAAATATATCTTTCTATAAATATAAAAATATAGAAATACATATGTATATAAGTAAATATATAAATATATGTGTAGAACATCCCACATATATATATATAAATATATATCCCATGTATATATACATTCTAGCTCACAAAAAACCAAAAAAAGATAAAGACAAAATATTGCCCAGGGGTTTAGAATAAATTAAATTGGTATTTGCTGAAATGTTTTGGTCAACCCGGTTTTAAATAAGTCGAATTAAATTTTCAAGCCGGATTCCCTGACGCGGGTTCTGAAACGCGGGCGGGTTTTTTTTTTTTGCAGGTTACATCCGCAACACCAGCAGCATCTCCCCCCGGGGTTACTCCTCCAGCTCCACCCCTCAACAGTCCAACTACAGCACCTCCAGCAACAGCATGAACGGCTACAGCAACGTGCCCATGGCCAACCTGGGCGTGCCGGGCTCGCCGGGCTTCATCAACGGCTCTCCCACGGGATCCCCCTACGGATGTACGGCCCTGGAGCCCCCCTGGGCTCCCCCTTAATTCCCTTTGTTCGGTCCAAAAAGGGGCAGCAAGGGAGGAGGGGCTGATTTGGGGCTGGGGAGGGGTTTTAGTGCCGATGAAAATTATTTGTATTTTTTGAAAGAGTAGTCAATGTTATTTCTTTTTTCGCTCCCTTTTTAAATCCTTCTGTAATTAATATTATACATGATTGCACATTATATTATTATCTATTATATATCATTATGGATTATAGATTATGGATTATAGACTCTCTGCTTTGATGACCTACAATACTCTGGTCTCCTCACCCCTTCATTTTAAAAGATTTAAGCACTCTTCTCTGAACTGTTTAATCTAAAACCCTCTGTGCTTCACACTTTAATTAAATTAGTCACTGTGAGAACGAGACCTTCATTTTCAGCAGTTTTACCAAAGTTCTACAGTTGCTTTCCTGATGAAAAAAAAAAACCACCACAACTTTTTTTTTTTTTTTAATTTAAATTTGCAGTGATGTCCTCGAGTCCCACAGTTGGCTCCTCCAGCACTTCTTCCATCCTTCCATTCTCCTCCTCCGTCTTTCCTGCTGTCAAACAGAAGAGTGCCTTTGCTCCTGTCATCAGACCCCAAGGGTCTCCTTCCCCTGCCTGCTCCAGTGGCAATGGAAATGGGTTCAGAGGTAAGAAATGTTTCCTTAATTGACATTAAACCCCCTGGCCTGGGTAAGCACAGCCACCATCTGCAGGGAAAACCTGCCCAGGGAACTGGATTAACGCAATAATCCAAGTTTTCCTGTTTGGTTTTAAAGTGCTCTTTCAGTCACAGGCTGGGTTGGGTTGGGCAGGACCTGAAAACCATCCCATTCCAGGGACATCTTCCACGAGAACACGGCGGAATAACAGCTCTTTCTGGAGGAATTTCTTCTCCCCGGGCTCCGGGGACTCCTTAAACACGAGTTAATAACACCCAGCTCCGTGCAAAACTCCAAACCTGCTGCAAGGTTTAGGCTCAGCCCGGGAATTCAGCCCCAACAGCCCATTTACAGCCCTTTTAAAGGTGATCTGCCAAACAAATGTGGGCAGCCAGATAAGAACGGGGGGGAACCTGGGCTCAGTTCTTGCTTCTAACAGGCTGAGGTGGGGTGGGGGGAAGGCTGTGGCACATAAATACGCTCCAAGTGTCCATAAAAAAAAAGACTTTACAGGGCCTGAGAAGTCATCTGGCTCCTTCAGCGGAGATAGCAGAGAAAATACAGCTCTGGGAATCGAGCCCAGCCAGGGGTAATTGTAAATGAGCCCCACAAACCACACCTGCTGGGGTGGGGAGAGGGGGAATGTAAACCCTTAGCTGGGCCACGGGGACTCGCAGAAACCGCGATTATTTTATGCCGTGAGGAAAGTCGAAGCGTGCTGAAGGGAAAACAATTCCACCCTGAAAGGCCAGCTTAGGGAATTCTGCGCCAGCTTCTTCCCCTGCCCCGTGTTCCCTGAGAATTCCACGTTTCTCTAAGACCATCTTCTCCCCATTAATGGGTAAATCCATTGGCCTGCCCATGTAAATCCACTGTGTTGGATTTACATGAATCCCATGTAAATTCCCTGTGTTGACAGGGAATGTAATTTCTTTTCATCGTTTAACGAAGAGGAAAAGAAGGATATGGGGCCATTTTTTAAACTCCAGGTACAGAAAGTTTTGCTGGCCCAACAGTTGTAGATATTTATTGACACTGTTCAGGAATGAGTTTAGATAAGTAGCTCCAGAATTTATTGACCACAGCCCTTTGTTTTTGTGGGATTTCTCCTCGTGCATCAACACAAACACAAATACATCAATTTAAGGAGCAGTGGTTCCTTCCCAAACACATCTGCCCAGGGTTTGTTACGCCAGGTCCTTGGAACCCCTCAGCTCTTCCAGCCCTGGATGCAGATTCCAAGGGAAATATTGAAATGGAGGCAAGCTGGGGAGCACATGCCTTGGAAAGGCTCCAGGTACACACAGCCTGATCTCCAAATTAACGTTCCCACAGTGCTGACAGACACATGTGGCCAAAAAGTCAACGGGAGGCTCCCAGAGAGGCTTCTTGAATGGACTTACTGTGCTGAGGCAATGGGAGATTGATCATTTCTGCCACCTTCCCCCTCCCCCAGTGCTGCAAACCAGGAAGAGCTGTGCTGGGCATGTAATTCATTATTTATTTGCTGCTCTGGCAAACCTGGGCATCAGCAGATAGAGCTGCACAGGGCAAGCAGTAAATAAATGCAGGCCCCTTCCCAAAGCCCACCAGGGAAGGGTTTTGACATCACCTCTCCATTTCCCCCCCCCCATAATCCGTGGAAAACATCCCCATGGGGATTTTTTTTCAGCTTTAATGTAATGTTTGGGGTGTATTTTGGCTACATCTTATGCTCAAAGGCAGGTTTTCCTGAGGATTCAGCCTCCATCCTGTTCACTGCAGCCTGTTGCAAGGAGGATATTTGAAACACCAATATGTGTGATCTAATTCTATATTTATAATTAGTAGTTATAGCCACAGTTGTTATTTTTATTATTATTATTATTATTATATCTATTAATTAACACCAGCCCCTCAGAGCATTCTACTTATAAGCACTAATGAAAATTGAGGATATAAAACAGGGAAAACAGGTAATGGGAAAAGGAGATGCTCTGAAAACCTCCTGAGGGGTGGGGTTTGGGTGTTCCAGTCAACACTTCAGGCACTGCCTTTCAAAATAACTCCCAGCAGAGACTCTGACCAGGTAAAAAAAAATTACAGGATCATTTCCACCTTGTCAGCAACCTGCCTGAACCAGAATGATTCCAGAGCCCAGGCAGGGATTTAGGCCTGCAAATCATATATAAATTATGTCAATACACGTGAAAAATATGTATTTATCATCTGATTCCATTTGATGCCTTGGAAGGATCGAGTGCATTTTCCTGCCCTGTTTATTGGCAGAGATGGAAGTGGCCCAGACTGCTTAGAAACAAATCAAACCTGAAGGGTTTGCAAGGAGTTTGAAATGTCTCTTTTAACTAAACACAGTTTTAATTAACTAATTATTTTTCATTTGTTGGGATGGTAATTTGAGTAGCTCTTCCCATTTCACAGGCTAGACAAGAGCTTCATTTTTAAGGAGAGAAAACAAAAATCTGCCTTTTTATTAGGGAAAAATTCCTCCTTGTTGGGGTGAGGAGGGGCTGGGATGGAATTCCCAGAGAAGCTGTGGTTGTCCCTGGATCCCTGGAAGTGTCCAAGGCCAGGTTGGAGCAACCTGGGAGGGTGGAAGTTGTCCCTGCCCATGGCAGGGGGTGGGAGTGGATGGATTTGAAGCTCCCTTTCCTCCCAAAGCATTCCAGAATTCCATGATTCAGCACTAAGCCCCTTCCCAGTCGTCACCAAATGCCTGCTGGAATTTGCAGAGAGTCATTTCCCACTCCAAGGCAGCATTTTCAAAGGCTACTTGTGCCCACCAGGCTTATGATCATTATTAATTACACCCATTAAAGGTGCCCATCACCACAGCATCTGGGTGCTCCCCGTGTTTGATTATTTATTTATAAAAAAATTCTCCAACCTTGTGACAATTTTAATCAAGTGTTTCAGCTGATAATTGCAAGCTGTCAAGGTTAATACAATAAGGCTCATCTCTAATTCTTTTTCCATTTCCCTCCAAGAGGAGAGAGAAGGAAAAAAAAAAAAAAAAGAAAAAGAAAAAGGAAAGACCCTCTGGGATAATGCCTGTGGTTTCTATATTCCCAACTCATCAGGGAGTGTCCTGCATTGAACCACCTTTATTGAAAAGTTACATCGATTCAATATATAGTAATACAGGCAAAAATAATTACAGCTTTGCTTGCAGTGTAAGACCTTAATCCAAACCTCCCAAACATTCAATAAAAAGCCATCCAGGCTGGGAATAGGCTTTTGACAGCGCAGCCCCAGTGGAGGTGGGGGGAGGTGGGGTGGAAAGAGAGAGAGAGAAAAGCACAGAGCAAAGCCTTGAGATGAGCTGGGGGAAGGAAGCCAGGGGAGAATTCCAGGCAATATTCCTCAGTTCC